CCTTTTCTGATAAACCAAACAAGATTCGTCACTGTTCCTTTTGCGACCCAGTGTCCCCACCAGAATGTGAGCTCCCGGAGTGGGACCCGGCCGAGCCCCATCTCCTGCTGCACTCTGTATTCCCAGGGCCCAGCACGGGCTCGTGGTTGGTGCTCATGCAATAAGTTAGAACTAACCCGTCGCTGTTGGAGAGGGTCCGTTCTTTAGCTGGTAAGACTCATTTAAAGTAATTAACACCTCTTCATGTGAAAGGGTGCTAAGATCATTTTAAAAAACTTCTGGTTGAATAGATTAAAACGATGTTTTTATATTATAAATCCATTCACGGGACTTCCACAGGGCGCAGTGGTTAAGAATCCGCCTGTCAATGCAGGGGACACGGGTTCGAGCCCTGGTCCGGGAAGATCCCACATGCCACGGAGCAACTAAACCCGTGCGCCACAACTACTGAGCCTGTGCTCTAGAGCCCGCGAGCCACAACTACTGAGCCTGCACACCTAGAGCCCGAGCTCTGCAACAAGAGAAGCCCCCACACCGCAGCGAAGAGGAGCCCCCGCTCTCCGCAACTAGAGAAAGCCTGTGCGCAGCAACAAAGACCCAACACAGCCAAAAATAAATAAATAAAATACATAAATTTTAAAAAACAAAACCAAAAAAAGTGTACAGTTCAGTGGCATTAAGCAAATTCACATTGTTGTACAACCATCACTACCTTCCATCTCCAGAACTCTTTCATCTTGCAAAACTGAAACTCTGTGCCCATTAAATAATAACTCCTCATTTCTTCCTCCCCCAGCCCCTGGCAACCACCATTCTATTTTCTCTTCCTAGGATCTGACTACTCTAGGTACCTCATACAAGTGAAATCAGAAAACATTTGTCTTTTTGTGACTCGCTTATTTCACTTAGCATAATATCTTCAAAGTTCATCCATGTTGTAGCCTGTGTCAGAACTTCCTTCCTTTTTAAAGATGAATAATATTACAGTGTCTGTATAGATCACATTTTGCTTGTCTGTTCATCCATCTGTAGATACTTGGGTTGCCTCCACATTTCAGCTATTGTGACTAATGCTGCACTGAACATGGGTGTACAAATATCTCTTTGAGGCTCTGCTTTCAGTTCTTTTGGGTATATACCCAGGAGTGGAATTGCTGGGTTATATGGTGACTCTATTTTTAATTTTTTTGTGAAGGGCCATACTGTTTTCTATAATTTTCCTTAATTTTTAATGTAAGGATGCAACCTCCTAGACTGAAAAGAGCTCAGCCTTCCACACTAGACAGATGTGGGTTTAAATCTGCACTCTGCTATGTGGGCAAGTCACTTAGCCTTTCTGAGCTTTGGTTTCCCCTTCTATGAGGTGGGAACCGCTATCCAACTGTCGTAAGGATTAGAGGTAGTGTGGCTAGGAGAAGGTAACGTGCTGCAGCACACTGTGGGTGTGCAGTAGATGATATCTGTGTTAATTTTACTGAATATTTCCCCCACGTGCTTGTGTTCACCTTCTACCATCTTTCTACTTCAGTGGTGTTCTCTTTTTTAATGTGTGTTGTGTTCATCTCATATCCCACAGCATAATACACGAGCAGAGGCGAAGGATGGTGGCGCACACTTTCTCATGGTCCCTATGTCCTGTTTCCTCCCGTGCCCACTACCAAGCCCTGAATTCGTGTCCCCATCATTTTTCAGCTCTGCTTTCTTCGTTTGTCTTAGTCATCTCAGACACTTTCAGTCTACTCAATACCCTGCTGACAAAACGGACCGTCCGTCTTCCCTGGTGGTGTAGTGGTTGGGAGTCTGCCTGCCAATGCAGGGGACAGGGGTTCGATCCCTGGTCCGAGAAGATGCCACATGCCGCGGAGCAACTAAGCCCGCGTGCCACAGCTACTGAAGCCCGTGCGCCTAGACCCCGTGCTCCGCAACAAGAGAAGCCACCCAATGAGAAGCCTGCGCACCGCAACGAAGAGTACCCCCCCGCTCGCCGCAGCTAGAGAAAGCCCGTGCACAGCAACGAAGACCCAACACAGACAAAAATAAATAAATAAATAAATTTTTAGAAACCAAAAAAAACCGGACTGTCCATTTGGTGAGAGTGGGAGAACAGCATTTGCCTCCCCAAATCTCCCAGAGGGCCACCCCTGGCGCTGCGTCAGGAACACAGAGGGGCTGTTTAGACTTGAATCTTGATCTTGAATCTGTTTGGTTGATCTTGAACCCTTGGTAATTACACTTTAGTGAGCATCATCATTATTTGAGTGGAAGGAGAAACTTGCTTAGAAATGCAGATTCCTGGGCCACCCCTTAGACATCCAGCTCTCGGACGGACACCCAGGCATCTGCATTTTAAACAAATACTGCAGGCGATGATGCAGGTGGTCTGAGGATGAACTTCACACGGGTTGCATTTCTTTGGGTCCCCGTATCCCACCTGCTGTTCACCAGGCGCTGTGCTGGGCTGGGGGCAGAAAGGTGGATGGGATGCCACCTGGGACCTCAGAGGAGTTCTCGGTAGCTCAGGAGGCAGAAACACTCACAAGCAGTGGCAGGTGTTCGGATGAAGAGGAGGACGGGGCAGGGTTGGGATCAGAAATCAGCCTGGTGGACTCAGGGGTCAGCCTTGGATCTGAGGCACGAGTGTGTGGGCTGAGGGAAAGGCCACGTTAGGAAGCCAGTAGGAGCCACCAAGTTTGGGCAAAGAAGGACCAGCAGCCAGGGTGCAGAGAAGGAGGGGAATCAAAGCTCCCCCCACTCCGTCCACCCCAATCCCCGCCTGCCGAGCAGCTTCCTCAAGGAGCAGGAAGTATGAGAAGTAGGAACGTGAGAATCATGGGCTGATTTCCCAAGTGGCTTGCGTTCTCATCTGGACCCGCTCTCCCAGGTCACGTCACCTGTGAGGTCAGGATGACAGAGCATGGCCATCCGCGTCAGACAGCGGTGGGGTCAATGCCCACCTGTGAGTGTGACATTGGATAAGATACTTAACTCTTGATTGTGTGTGTGTGCGTGCTTTAAAATGTAGATTTTATTATTAGTTAGGTATGGTGAGGCCAACAGATCAGGAAATCATGGCCACTGAAAAGATAGTTTTTTTCTCTTTAACATTCCTCTTTTAAAAAAAGTTTTATTGAAGTATAGTTGATTTACCATGTTGTATTAATTTCTGGTGTGCAGCAAAGTGATTCAGTTATACATATATATATTCTTTTTCATAGTCTTTTCCATTATAGTTTATCACAGGATACTGAATACAGTTTTCTGTGCTATACAGTAGGACCTTGTTGTTTATCCATTCTATATATAATAGTTTGCAGGAAAGATAGTTTGTTACTCACAGTTCCTAAGAGGAGGGGGCACACCGCACTTTGGGGGTGGCAAATAAGAAAGCACAGTTAGGAGGCAGAGGGAGTGAGGGGAAAACGTGGGGAGGAGCCTTTACTGTGGTTTCCACGGGAAGGAACGGCAACACAGGGTAAGCAGGTTTAGGATTGGCTAGTTTGAATCATTTCAGTGGTCTCTGGGGTGTAGGGGCTGCCCTAGTGGTCTGGTACCTGGCTCTGGGTGATTAGGGTAGCGGGGAGTGACCCAGAGTGTGAGAGTCCATAAAGGAGGAGTTTGGGTGTGGGCTGTGGATTGGTTGGCTTGCGTAAGAAAGTCATTTAGTATCTCTAGGACTTGGCTAGCTCTGGGAGGGGTTCTCTCCAGGGTCAGCAAGGCCCCAGATATCAAAGCATCAGAAACACCTGGTTAATACAATATGTAAGCTAGTGTGGTGGGCAGAAGGATGCCACCCCCCCCAAAGATATCCATACCCTGGTCCCCAGAACCTGCAAATATGGTACCTTACATGGTAAAAAGGACTTTGCAGATGTAACTAAGTTAAGGGTCTTAAAATGTGGGAATTACCCTGGATTATCCGGTGGGCCCAATGGAATCACAAGGGTCCTTATAAGAGGGAGACAGGAGGATCAGAGTCAGAGAGAGAAGATGTAAGGATGGAAGCTGAGGTCAGAGAGGAGAGAAGTGCAGCTTCTGGCTTTGATGACACAGCCACGAGCCAAGGAGTGCAGGCAGCCTCAAAAAGCTGGAAAAGGCCAGGGAACCTCCGGTCCCCCAGAGCCTCCAGAAAGGACCCAGCCCTGCGGACCTGTTTCAGACTTCTCATCTCCAGAATTGTGTTGTTTTAAGCCACTAAGTTTGTGGTAACTTGTTACAACAGCCATAGGAAACTCATACAAATAGAAGGAAGGCCAGCTGCCTTGCAGGGTCATTGAGGGGCTCCGAGCCTGTGTAGATAAAAGCCTGGCTGGAGAGAAATGTCAGTAAATGCAGCAATAGTACCCGCAGGGCTCTGGGAAGTTTGGGACGAGGTAAAGACCGTGGACACACCCACCACGTTGCTCTGTGCTTTGTGGCTGCCCAGTAAATCTCGGGCTCTCTCTCCTTCCCCTTTCAGGTCTGGGGTGCTTGGGGGAGCCCCCTCAGGATATGCCCTGGCCTGTGCTCTCTCCCCTCTGCTGGCACCCGCCATCAGCGTGTGTGCCGGGGGTCATTTCCTGAATTTACCCTGTGGGTGGCTTCTGTGTCACCTCAGCGGCAGCAGCTCCTACCTCTGAACTGCTAGGCCCTGAGGATCTTTGCCGCACGAGGTCGGTGCCCTTTCCACCCGCTGTCTGTTGTCCTTAAAAGTGGCTGCACCATCGTTCCTTAATGGCAGGGACCAATTGTCCTGTGGCCTCTGTGTTCCCCCAGAGGCCTCAGGACTGTGCTGGGTCCTTGGCATCCCCCGGCCATGCCTCCTCCAGGCTGGGACATTGGCATCTCTAGTATGGGCAGCAGAGGTGGCCTGAGCCGGAAGGTGCCACCCAGGCCGCTCTCTCGGAGCTCCCGGAGGGTAAACCGCTAGTTCATGTGATGAGCGCACGTGCCGCTGTGATATGCGCTAGTGATGAGCGCACGTGCCGCTGTGTCTCGCAGCGCCCTCAGGAGGCTGTCCCCTCCGGCCTCTCACAGGGACGTTCGTCTCGGCCTTCACCGTGCTGTGTGGCGCCCGCACTGACCTCCCGGACAGGCACGTGTGCTGCGTCTTCTGGCTGAACATCGCCGCGGCCCTCATCCAGATGCTCACGGCCATCGTCATGGTGGGCTGGATTATGAGCATCTTCTGGGGCATGGACATGGTCATCCTCGCCAGTGAGTAACCGCTGGAGCGGGCCGGCATGCGCGGAGCATGGCGGGGGGAGGGGCAGGGGCCAGGGTGGTCTGGGTGTTTGCGATGCTTCGGGGCATGGGGGCTTCGCAGGGCGATCTGCCTCCGGGACCCTCCCCGCACGCCCAGCCCCGAGGCCTGCAGGGAATCTGAGGGGCCTGAGCCGGAGGGGAAGGGCGTGAATAAGGGAGGGAGGGAGCCCCCGTTCAGCTCAGAAACAGTCCTGCTGACAACCGCGGTAGCAGGGGTGTGGCCCGCGTCAGCTCAGGTCCCCTGTGCCCCCAGCATGCCGTTTCCAGACAGAAGGAAAAGCCCACTGGGTATGTTTGCCCTCAGGAAACACTGTAACTTTTTCTACAACTAGAACAGCCTAATTTCAACTTCTTTTAAACTAAGCTCTTTGTTCCTTGATGCTAAAGCCTTACTCTTCCTAATTTGTATGCAGTGGACCTTCACCAGTCACTTAACACAAACTTGATCCCGACACAAAACTACCAGAGAAGACTTGATTAACATTTTAAAAATAACCTAGTGAGATCTTAAAACAGACACATATTTTAAGCAGCCGTACTCGTCACCCTGTGCCCCTGTGCATGTCCCTGTATTGTCACACGTCCCGTCTACCTCACTAGGCCTCAGGTCCTAACAAGGACCACGTCTCCTCAGGCACTTTGCCCTTCTCCCCACACCCCACCCTCCTACTGTGTCCTACACCTGACAAAACCATTGACAGGTGGAATGTCAATGCCAGAGGTGAGCTGTGCCAGGTAAGGACAGCAGAAGCAGGAGGGGAAGCCCAGGGGCCAGGGGCTCTAGAACGATCTAGAATGATTCCTAGTTGACCCAGTCTGAGTTCAAGATCCTGTGAGGACCCAAGATTCAGGGCACACACAGATGCCAGGGCCCAGCAAGGCTCGGGTCAGTGACCAAGTGAGCCACCAGGCCGGAGAAAATGCAGGTCCCTGAGCATGAGCAAGCTCGGCAGAGCCCGTAGATTGGTCAGACAGGCTGATTGGAAGCAGCTCCTCCCCTGCCTGGGATGCTGGACTGCCAGGGCATCCCAAAGTTAGAGCTGGGAGACAGGGGCAGCCAGAGAAGAGGGAGGGGGACACTGGGCAGGGAGAAGCTGAGGAGCCGTCCTTCCTTGCTGTGGAGAGCTGCTCTCAGGGCAGGGGCTGCTGTCAGGGAGGATGTCGGAGAGTGGGCAGAGCAGGCAGAGATCAAGGCAGGCCCCTCATGGGAGCCCCGCCCCATGGGCCTGTCCACGGACCACTTGCATTTGTGGGGAGGGGTGCAGAACATCGCTAATTGGACAGAAGTGCTGCCTGTCATCCTGTGAGTCCTGAGAAGCCAAGTCTGACAATTTCCCAGGGGCAGTTGGGTGCTTCCCGAGAGGCCTGTTGTAAGCTCCTGACCTTGGTCCCAGTTGGAAACTGGAAGGGGCCTCTGCTCTCAGAGGCTTCCTCAGCGGCAGATGGAAAGCCTGTGACGGCTGCCCCATCGCCACCCAATAGGAGCCCCGACCCCTCTTACTACATCATCTCCTCATCACACAACTGTCTGGCCAGGCACTGGGGCATGTTAGTAAGGAAATTTCCTGTTACAGCGGCACAAGCCTGTGTCACAGGGTGGGTCTCAATAAATGTGTTGATGCCTAATCTGATCCCGAGAGCTTTCTGGTTTTCTTTTTTTGGTCATGCTTGATACCAGGACCCACAGGGATCTGGATCTTAGAGACAGCTTCAAGAACTCCCCTTATCACCTCCTAAAGGAGGAAACAGAGACCCGAGAAGGGCAGATGGGGGCCTGTCACTTCCTCACCTTCCACCACCCTAGCTGTTGACTCAACAGAAATCCCTCTTCTGTGGCTGGTGTCGGGGCCGTATTTGGCGCCAGGCTAATCAAGTGCTGGAACCCACCTCCCCACCCTTCCTACCCTCTCCCCCCACGCCCCGATCCAAGCTTTCACTGTGGGTCACCTCCTTGGTTCCAGGGATGCTGTCTTTGTGTCAGACTTTTTAGAACACTGTTTGGGGGATGGACTTGAGGGCTGCACCAGAAAACCCAACACACCTCACCGCTACCCACTTACCCCACCTGGCCACCAGACTTGCTCACCCATCTCAGCAAGGGGTGCCTTTGCCCTTTCTCCAAAAAGTAAGCCCACCCTCAAAGGATGAGTAATTGCCACTGTTGAGATTGTGCTGTGGGCTGGAACTGCCCCGAGCAACAATGCAGTGTGTGTATCCCAGGATGACTACCTCGAAGAGAATAGCCACAATTGACTTATTTGTCCTGGTAGATAGTTGGATAAGGGGCTGTTCTTTCCGGTGTCACTCCAGCCTCGTCCTGTGAAAATGAAGGGAACTTTTCAATTATAACAATACAGGGTGATTTTTTTTTTACCTGGCATTGCCTGGGGTGTCATCAAGAAATGTACCATCAAGAAAAACCTAAGAGGTGAATCAGAGAAATATAGATCAAAGTAGAAGTTAAAATCAGGAACTTACAAGGCCGCTGCTCTATTTATATGAATAATAACAAATAACAGTCAACAACAGCCTGTATTGGTTGTGGGTCAATAAATATTTGGTAGTTGTACGAGAGCCTCTCTCTACTGCCATACCCATGACAGACATTGCTAATCAATCATGACACTTTCTGCTGAATAGTCTTACATGTTCTTAATACAGGGCTTCAGGCAGTCACTATCAATGGATCCAAGATGTCTGCAAGATAAAGTCTGTTTACCATCCCCCACCTGGATCTTTCCCAAAGCAATAGGTTTTATATATGTGGCTCCTGTCCACATAAAAGGCAAACCCCGTGGCTCAGACAGAGCTGGGCTGGGGCCAGGATGGGTCACTTCAACATCTTTAGGTTGTCACAGTTAAACCTGTCCTGTACCCATCCCTCTTGGGGTCCATCCAGAATTCCATCTCAAGACAAACATGGGTTGGGGGTGGGAGAAGAGTGAGGGGCAGAGATGAGCAGAAGAGCGGCCTTGGCTGAGATAGGGAGGGAAGGGGAGAGAGCTTCTTGGCAGTGTCTCACCGAGTGTGACCCCCAGGGAGGGGAGGATGCTCTCTGTGCGCTCCTGCAGCCAAGTCCACACGCCTGCTGGGGCTGGCCACTGGCCGCAGGGGCTGGTCACTGTGAATACTGGCGACGGCCCGCTTCCATCTCCTGGGCCGCACTGTGCATCCTCCCTCTTTTTATATTTCAGGCAGTCCCTCTGGCCTCTGTTTTCAGACTGTTTTCTCTTTCTCTTTTTCTCCTCTTCCTCATGCTGCCTCATAACCCTGTGTTGCTCCAAAGTTTCCCAAGGTGAGTCTGTTGGGGGATGACAGGCCACATGCCTGGGCTGCCTTGGGCCTCCCCTTCACTGTCCTGCCCTGCACGCCCAATGCACACAAACACCCCCTCTCCCAATTGGTCAACAAGCTTCTATTTTCAGAAGCTTCTTTTTTTTTTTTTATTTTGGAAAATGTTTAAACATAGACACAAGTAGAAGGCCTAGTACAATGAGTCCCTAAATGCACATATTGGCTTTAACCATCATCCACTCATGGCCACTCTGGTTTCATCGATTACTCCCTACATCTTCCTCTACCCCAAACAACTAAATTTGATGAATATCTGGTAAATAAAGAGAAAAACTACATGTAAGTCCACTGCTGCTCCTCTGTGGGCTGAGTTACCAGCTAATAGGGGTAACCACTCCGCAAATTCCAGACTTATAATTTCACCCTTAAATATTTCAGTAGATGTCTTTTTTTTTTTTTTTTGTGGTACGCGGGCCTCTCACTGTTGTGGCCTCTCCCGCTGCGGAGCACAGGCTCCGGACGCTCAGGCTCAGCGGCCATGGCTCACGGGCCCAGCTTCTCCACAGCATGTGGGATCCTCCCGGACCAGGGCACGAACCTGTGTCCCCTGCATCGGCAGGTGGACTCTCAACCACTGTGCCACCAGGGAAGCCCAGTAGATGTCTTTTAAAAAAAAAAACCCACAATACCCTTTCATGCTCAAATAAACTAGCATCAGTTCCTTAATAGCAACAGTGGTCAATTTTTTCCCATGTCCTTGTAATCATCACCAAGGTTTTAAAGGCTCGAAGCCATCAGTCGCCTTGGCCAGTGTCCGAGGCGTCCAGCTGATGGAGCACGCACACTCGGCTCCTGCCTTGTGTACGCTGTCTTCCTTTTTAATTCTTTCCTCCTCTCGGTCCACATGCACCAGATGCCCATCACTTGGGGAAGCCTGCCTGGTACCTTCTCGCAAGGCTCCGCGTTGGGAAATCACAGCAGGCCAGTCTGCTGGGGCCACTTTTGTGCAGTAGCTTCAAGGGTGTGGATTCAGGAGCACAGTGATAACCTTCCAAGCCCCACCAGATCTGCAGCAGACACCCTCCTCTCATATATCCCCCACTAAACCCAAAGATCCATTGTTCTCCATTCATCCCTTTGTTTCCCGTTAAAAGCCAATGACCTTGGCAGTCATTTACACCTCTGTGTGAATAAGTTCTAGCATATTCTAGTCTGGGGGCACCGCCTGGAGAAGTGCTGAGGGAACCGGGTGTCTGACCATCTCTCCTCTGCTTCTTCCTTACAGGCTACAAGGAGCAGGGCATCCCACAGCAGCTGTGAGCCCGGGCGAGCCACTGAGAAGCCCGGTGTCCCGGAGGGCCACGTCAGGCAGAGGCGGGCACGGGGTCTTCACATATTCTCTTCTGCCGCTTCCCGGGTTTGGAGTGGAAAGAGGGGACTTAAAAATATTATTTATTTTGAAAACGCATCTGCTTCTCTCAGCAGGCTCTAAGGGCTACCAGCTCCTCCCGCTGCTCCAGAAAGCCCTGTAGTGCAGACACACAGAGCATCTGGGTTGGGTGGGGAGTGGGATGGAAATGGGAATGCCTAGAGAGAGGCAGGAGCGCCCCGGCTCGGCCCGCTTCGCGTCACCCGCCGCCCACTGCGAGGGCACGAGGGGCCGCCAGTCCAGGCAGCAGTGGCCCTGTCCAGATGAGCAGGGCTCGTCAAGGGGCAGGACTGCAGTGGACACCTCCTCCGGGTCCCCAGCCCCTGCCAGATTGGTCTCCTGGGGGCAGCGGGAGTGAGGATGGACAGACTCCAGCCCAGCGTGGAAAGGCCTGCTGTGCCCTCAGCTGTCAGGGGGACAGATCTCCGCAGGTGTCTGCTGACCCTAATCGCAGCCCTCACCTCCTCGCCCCTGAAATCTCCAGGCCTGGGTGTGTTTGACCTTTGTTTCCCTGGGAAGGAGGGCAGTGGCTCCATTCCCGGGGCGAAACTGCTGGAATTGCCTGATGTTCATACACAAATTTACCAACCCAGGTTTGCATGGGCAGCCTTTCCCGTTATACTTAACACCATTTGGGGTCCACACCCCTTTTTCTGAAATCCTTGGGGCCAAATGGGTCTCTGACCTGACAAATTTTGGATCTGAGGAGGAGGATAAGAGATGTTTGCCATACATTTCCTTACAGCCCGGCAGAGTCTGGAACAGCTCACCACCATCAAACACGTGACCATTTCTGCAAAGAAACATGTGAATAGTCAGACTAATTAGGATCAATAAAACTGTAAATAGCCTTACCTCAGTACAGGTCAGATTTTGCCACTAAATAAGCTATGGGAGAAAAGTCACCATTTGAGAGCTTTGGTGGTTTTAGGATCGCAAAAAACAGAAAGAAAAAACAAAATTGTATGGGGTGCTGGCCCTCTCTCTGAAAATCCTTCTTGCAAACAGATGCATTCAGGTGATACTGTTGGTGTTACACAGGGATTTCTCCTGTTGCGAAGGGACGGTCAGGCCCTTTAAGACACCTCTGTGAGTGACTGTTACAGAGCCGGGAGCCAACAGAAGCTGTCTGATTCAAGATCCATCAGAAGTTAAGAGAATGGAGACCTACATGACAGGGACGAGATGGACATTTACATGTCTGTTTTCTTTTCATTTTCATTCTAATGTAGGAATCGCTAAAATGTGGGACTGGCCCAAAGCCAAGTTTTTGGCCTGAATGGACTTTGTGCCATTGGGTGTGTTTCTTTCCAAGGGGCATTTCCTATCCATCAGGGGCTCAGTCAGAATTTGGCCAGGGCTGGAGCAGTGGCCTGTCTGGCCTTTTTCCCCAAAGGCTTGGGGAGCCGGCCTCAGGACAGGTCCCTCGCTCCACCGTGAGCCCCTTTGCGAGCCGCTGCTTGCATAGTCTCTGTTCCTACAACCCTCCACCTGGGGCAGTGGCCCACCTACCCCATCCGCTGGGCTTTCTAATTACAGTCCTGCTGGGAAGTGGGCCTCAGGGTCCCTGTGGCCCGGAGAGCAAACCGGCATCCTGGGAGAGACAGAATTCCTTCCAGCCACTTGCTCCCCTAGCCCACCCTGGCCCTGACTCAGGGATGGGTTCTCTCCTTGGCCTGATCCTACCCCGCTGTCTACTCCTTAGCTCTGATGAGCTGCCTGGGGCGGGGTTGCACTTTCTGGACACCTGGCAGTGTCTATCTCTTCCCCCTCCTTTCTTCCTGGCCCCAACCTGGGCCTTTGCTGCTCCTTTCACGTTTGGCAGCCTCTGTGTTTTCAAGGTGTGGGCTCAGATCTGGTTTTATCCAGAAAGTCAGAACCTTCTGCTGTGTGAAGACAGCATCCTCCAGGCCAAGAGGAGAGCAGGCTGGCGGCTGGCTGCTCTCGAGGAAGCGGCATCAGAGCACAGAGCCTCCCCTAGAATCAGATAAAAACAGCTCCAGCTGAGGAAAGTAACTCCAGCCCACGGCCCGTCACCCTAAACAGCTCCCCCGAGTTTGCTTGACTCCCCGGAGAGATGACAGGTATCAGGAGGGGACTGCCCCCACAGGGAGAGGGGGGATCTTATTTTCCTGGCGTGGCCGGGGGTGGCTGCTAAGGAGGTAGAGAAGAGAGAGCAATTTCTGTCTCGTGTTTAGTGACACATTCAGACACGGGTGGAGTTTTCTTGAGTGACAAGTGTCACCATGTGTCCCAGTGTGAGATGGTTTCATGCCAGGGTTTGTGTGCTTGGAAGGACATCTCCCCTCCTACCCCCCGGTCCCCGGACCCTCCCCTCACCTGCGGCTGCTTCTCCAAACTTGAGAAGACACCAGCCTCAAGAGGCAGCCCCTTTCCAGGTAACTGACGTGCAGAAGAAACCAAAAGGACCCCAGCCCGTCTTCTGAACAATGAGTCTATGAGGATTGCCAGGCGGGTGGAACGGCTCAAAATAGCTTCTCTCTGAGTGAGACCATGGTCTCAGAATCATCATCATCATTAGATAAGGAACAGTGGCTGGTGTCCTGTTAGTCCCCTGAGCTGGCCGCTCAGGCTTTTAGATGGCCAAAGTTAATTTCTGAAACACCAGCCGGCTGAAAAGCATGGTTCTCTGGCCAGCAAGAGCTGGGTTGACACACAGCCCTTTGCTGACAGATCTGGGCTTACCTCAGTGGTACAGCACAAGGGTGATGGTCCAGAAACTCCAGGGTACATTTCAGGTCCAGCCATTTATCAGTCAGAATTCCGTAGGACAGTCCTAGGCCACGGGTGTTCAGGGCAGGGATCACAGGCACACAGAGAACTTCACAGTGAATGAGATACTCCCAGAACCTCATTATGACACTTGGAACACAGTGGCCATTCCCTTGGGCCAGAGCAGGATCCCAGAGCAAGAATCAGCCACCTGGCCGCCTGGGAGTGTCTTGCGGACGGTGGACACAGCTGACCTGGATCTTAAGATCTGAGCCCAAGCCAGGACTTCGGGCCGGGAAGGCCGGGGTCCCCGTGGGGAGCAAAGGGGCGGATGGCTCCCGGCTCCGGTCCGGCACCCCTCCCGCCTGCCGTGGCGCTGAGGCTGCAAGCAGGAGCCCTCCCGCGGCCCCTGCCTGACGAGCAGCAGGCCTGGCCTTGGAGCCAGCCTCGGGCTGCACTTGAGGGAATGTAAGGAGGGGACACGAGGCCCTCTCTCTGCTGCCTCGGACCCACGTGTCAGCCCCCACGACAAGGGCAGCCTCTAGATGCTGAGCCCTTGCCAGGCACTGTGGGGTGCATTTCATCTCCTGTGACCCTTACCGATAGCCTGCCGGGGAATCGGAGGAGGGGGTTATCAGTGTGCAGGGATGGGAGGGGGTGGGGTGTTTTTCAGATGTCAGAACTGAGGCGACAAGAGAGGGTCCTCTCGGGGGGCAGTGCCCGGCCCACTCAGAAGTAATAGGGTGCCACCCTGCTGCCACCATCCTGGGCGGCCCTCAAACCTGCGCTCCCTTGATGAAGGAAGGCAAACCTGCCTGGTCCCAACACGCAGGACCCCGCCCAGGGGCTCCAGTCCCTGACCCACCGTGTCTCAGAGGCACAGCAGTGATTTCAGCCTCGTCTGGGCGCCACCAGGGCTGAGGAGCTGTAGGGGGCACGCAAACGGGAAGGACAGAAAGAAAGAAAGCCACACGGCAACGTTTCCCCCTGGAGGAACGGGGACCCAGATCTGAGAAAGAAAAACCAAACACCAAGCCCTGAGGCCAGTGAAAGGAGGGACCGAATCCACGGGACCAGGAGGATGGCTTCCAAAGGCCTGGGGCTCCTGAGGAGGGAAGCAAGGGGCTGGCTGACAGTGGTCTTTCTGGGCCATCTTGGCTCTCTAAAATTAAAACAAACAAAGACCTGACATGTTTTCTTTAGTGAGCCCCCATCCCTGCCCAGACAGGTGAGTTTGTGAGGGTCACTTCAGTTCTGCCTGGATCCACCTCCCTCTGGGCCGCTGGGCCCCAGCCAGGGCGGATCCTACCCTGGGAGAAGCTGGGCCATGGGCTCCAGGCCCACCTCAGGATTTAATGACACCCGCTGTTTTTATCCTGTTAGTGGTGTTGACAGAGAAAGCCTCCTCCATTGTGTCAACGGCCTGGGGATATGCAATTGAGATGTAAGTCCTCCAGTTGTTGGCTGCAGGGGCTGTTCACTGTTACTGCTACTCCCTCTGGCCAGCTTGCTTAGAGGGCTTTCAACAGGGGCATCAGAGGTGGATGAACACTTTTAAATCACCAGCCGCCGCTTCGGCCACACTGACCCTCCCCAGAGACCATGACCTTGGCAGTGGGACGAGCAGTCTGAGGCAGTTGCTGACCCTCCGCGGACACACACTCCCCCGTGGAACCTGGCCTTTGCCTCTATGGGCTCCCTGTGCTGGCCTCTAGTAGGCCCACCAGGGGAGGCTCCCTGTTTTGCTTTTATGCATTCAGCAAGCGCTCCGTGGGCACTGAGTGGGCCAAGCAGGTCCTGGGCGTGGCCTCGGAGGAGCAGCTCAAAGATACCACTTACCTGGTGAGCTAGGATCCCCACCTCCACAGGTGGAATAGCAAGGTGAGTGGAGGTCCAAGAGACGAGATGCTCTCCAGGGCCTGGGGCTGGAGCCTCTCCCCCGCAGAGAGTTCTGTGTGTATTGGAGGAGACAGGAGTCCAGGCTGTCAGGGGAAGGGAGGCTGAGGTCAGCCTGAGCAGGTGGCGATGCCCGGGGTCCTGTATTTTTCATCACTTTTCTTCCCGTTGGATTCTTAGAACCTCAGAACGCTCTTGGGCTCAACAGAGGTGTGGAGGCTTACGCTCAGATTCTCATGGATCCACCCCAGATCCCACGTGGAGACAGGATGAGCCGCTCTGCTGACGGATGGGGGAAACCCCAACCAGAGTGACCCCGAATGTCCCCCGAAGCCCCGGGGGTGAGTTACAGCCTCAGCGCTATTCGTCTCTCCCAGTGTCTTGTGCCTCAGTTTAAAATCTATAGCTTGGGTACAAGGAGGGGCTTGGGCAACCGTCATCCTTCCCACTTCTCTCAGAGCAAAGGGCATGGAGGACGAGCCTTGTCAGGCGAGGGCCAGGGCCAGGGCCAGGGAGTAGCCGGCCCCATGGACTTAGAGGCCAGGACTCTTCCTAGTAAAACAGAAACACTGGCCCCCCAATTCTGCTCTCCCTTCCTGATTCTGCCCCAGAGAGGGGAGGTTGACCACAGGGTCCCACTTGTGTGTCCTAATTTCTGGTACAAGTTGCCTCTCGCTTTTGATTTAGCTGTGGAATCTCTGTTCCTAACCCCTCTTCCTCCCTGTCTGGATTTGCCAAAATGCCAACCACCCAGGCTGGTCCGGACTCCACGGTCATCCCCGACCCCGCACCTTCACCCTGGAGTGAGCAGAAGCACAGACACATGCACACCCCTGCCTGTGCACACACACAGCGCGCACGTGCACACTCACAGCCCCTTTGATGCTGGGAGAAGTCAGGCCAGGGTCTGTCTGGAGACTCAGGATTGGTACTTACCGTCTCCAGAGGAGCCCCGTGCCCCATCCAGGGGCCACCTCCCTTCAGCAGGGCCTCTGGCCGGTGGTACTTTTGCCGTCGTCACCCCCATCCCAGGCCCAGATGCCCACACTGTTTCCTCTCCCTCCAGGGCCCCTGGTCTTGGAACTCTTCCTCCCAGGGTCCACGGGCTTAGCACCCACACCTCACCAAACCTGGCTGTGCTCAGCCCCATGCCCCAGCTTGGCCTTCTGTGGGAGGGGCAAGAAGAGTCTGCCCAGAGAAGAGGGGACAGTGGTCTCCTTCTGGGCTCTTGTAGGACTGCAGACAACCCTGTCCTCTGAGGTCCTTTTCTGTTCCTACAACCCTCCCACCAGCCCCGGTATAGGAACCAGTGAGGAGAGAAGGGGGACAGAGGTCACGTCCACCCGACTTTCTGGCCCATGTTCCAAGCAGGGAGAGGGTGACGTGGCTCTAAGTGGCCTGGGCGCCCTGAGGGAGCCCTTGGCCGGCCCCCTTCACAGCCTAAGCTCCATGCTGTTGTACGTGATGCCATTTTTAAAGAAAACAACATACATAGAAAGAGGACTGGTTCTGTTGCTTATCAGCTGAATTTATATATGGATGAGTGCTGTGATTTACAGTTTTTGATTCCGTGATTGGCTTTGTTTGGGTCGCTCTTCTTTATGTTAAATTAATCGCCGTACGGTTCTATTGTTCTCTGGCAAGATCTACTCCCCGATCTCCAGGGCGTTCTTGTCTCACTTCTACCCTGACCATTGGGAGCCCACCCTACCTCCACAAGCTTCCCCTGGGATCCAATCCAGCCAAGGGGCTTTTCCAGCCCATGGCAATGACTGGAGCCTTCCTCGGTTCCAAGAGAGGAAGAAACTTCTAATGCCACAGACTAGGGAAGCTTCCAGACTTGCCCTGGCCCAAACCTTGCAGCCTGGGGCCCAGGCCTGCCTGCAGCTTAGCTCCCACAGACCCTCAAAACCCAGCCCCCACTGGCGGACCTGCCCACTGCTGCTGGGTCTCTACAGCGCCCTCTAGGCACTGAGCGGGGTTCCAGTTTCTCCAGCCTTCTGCCAGCTTTCAGATGCATAATTCGAGCACCTTTACTGTACATGTAATGAAAAATACCATGTATGACAATGAAAACTTGTGTACATATCTCCATGTACATATTTATATATTCCTATTATAAATGTAGAAAGCATGGCATCTCTCTGACATTCCAAGTTTGTGTTTTTTTAAATCCCGGAACTATGGCTTTGGAAACCTTTTCTTCCTTTCCCTCTTTTCTATGTAATAAACACCCATGTGACCTTTCTGGTGGCTTCTCGGGTCCCTGTGTCCTCTCGTTTTCAGAATTGGGCAGATCTCTGACTGGTCCTCGATGCCTCCCTCCTTCTCCCTCAGCAGCATTTGCTGTCGGTGTCCTTCCTGTTACGAAGGTTGCCCTTCTCCGAGGCGGGCCTTGCCTTCCTTCACACTGCTTCCTCGCATCCCCCTTCCCCTGGGAGGCTTGTACAAGTTACTCCTCAAAGGCCCACATGTTTGGTAATCTGATCCCTTCTCAACCTGGAGTTTGCGGGCTAAATTGAGTGTTGGGCCCAGACTGGGTTTTCCAAAAATAAGTGTACAGATGAAACTCATTTTCTTCTCCTGATTGCCAGACGGGTTGATGAGGGACGTGTGTATAGAGTACTTATTTGTCCAAGTCTCCGGTGTAAATAAGAAGCTGGGTAAGGGTGGTTAGGAGAACTTATAACTAGCAGGTCAGTTGTAACAAGGGACTGGTTGAACGGATGTTACCTTGGAGGGAATTTCAGGGCATGGCCCGTGGCCCAGTCGGTGTTCTCTTTAATAACTGAATGAAGACCTAGAGAGCTTATCCAATGTGCTGCTGAAGGGAACTAAATATATTAGACCAATCAGAATTCAAAGAGCTCTCGAGAGGCAGAGGCCATCTAACAAGATGAAATCTAATAGCGTGACATGAACAAGTGGTGCTTGGAATTAGGAAGGCTCCAGGCTCTCCCTCGTGCCGGGGGAGCATCTGACAGGCGGCTTGGCACTCAGCAGCAGTGCGGTGTAGGTGACAGAACAGGACGTCTGATTTCCGATGCCTTAGGAGCAGCAACCTGGGGTCCAGAAAGAGGCCACGTCTGCAGTGCTGCGTTCAACACCGGGGGCTGTGGGAGGTGAATCCCCACGTGTCACCCCAATACTCACACCCCAATGGAAAGGCCTTGCCGCTCGCTGTTTCCTCAGGTTAGCCTGGGACCCCTGGGGCCCGCCATCCTCGTCCACTTGTCGGGGGCATTTTGGGGTGTCTACTGAGAGATGCTGCCATCTCGGGACCTTGATGCTGCTGTGGCCCCAAAGAATGAATCTGCTGCAAGGTACACCTTCCAGGGAAACTTCATGCTCAACCTCAGGGACTGCTTCGAGGCCAGAAATGCCATCTGTGCCTAAGGGTTCACTTTAGTCACTGCTAAAACCAGGACGCAAAGCTCGAGGCAGCATAATGACCGAAGACACATCACGGTTGCCCAGACACCCCGGGGAGCATTTCTTGACGGTGTGCATCTTCCGAGTACTTACTGTGCTCAGGTTATTCCAGGAATGCTTTTGGCTAGAGACTTCTTCCTGCAGAGGGTTCCGGCTTCAGGGGGCTGGTGGGAAGGCACAGTGGGAAATGAAGTTAGCAGCATTCTCCAGCCCTGCTACGTGACAGAAAAGAACCCTGGGGGGCACCGACATCTCCTCTCCCCTCCCCGCCGCCACCTGCTCATCCTGAGGAAGGTGACGTGGTTGAACCTTCTAGTGCCTCTCCTGGAGGGTGAGGAACAGTGTCCCCCAAAGAGACAGAGAGTTCTCAGACCCAGAGGGAAGGGGCTGTGAAAAACACAGAGCCATCTGCTGTCCAGAAATCCCTGCACTCCCAGAGCCCAGGCTCTGAGGGAGATTTGTGGTCGCCTGTAGTCAGTCACAGGAGGGGAGGCGGGAGGATACATGGGGGGCAGGAGGCGGGGGGGCCGTGGTTGGGCTGTGGATCTATTCTGAAGATGCATGGCCTCCGGAGCAGAAAGAGAGCTGGGGCAGAGAGCATGCTGGGAGCAAGGACTTAACTAGGATTTGTTGTCACTAGTGAGAGGGACTCAACTTGAATCAGTTTATGGAAAGGAGGAATGGAATGGAGGGAGGGAGGGCAGAGGTGCTGAGGAAGCAGCGGGCCCGGGCAGCTCCTTGAGCAGGAAGCTGAGTCCTGTACGCATGGCTCCTCTCCCCCAGCCCCATGACCTGTCCTCAGCCCCCAGCTGGCCAGTGGCCCAAAGTGCTGGAGGATGGCCGCCAGCTAGGTCACTGAGACCTCCTCACACAGCGACATAAATTAGGAATTACTGAGATGGTCACTTGGCGGGTAGCAGGGGGCAAAGGGGGACCCCCCCACAGAAAAAGAGGAGACAGAGCAATGTCTGGCCACGTGAGTGGGGTACACTTTCATGGCTCCGGGGGCAGCCCCATGTCCTGGGTACTTCCGGTGCCCACCCACTTGCCAGTTTCTGTGGGGCGCAGCTGTGCAGCCACTCCTGTGGCCTTGGTCCTGAGTGTCCTTGTGGAAAACCTGGAGACCTGAATGGCCCCTGGGTTAGTGCCCCCTCCACCCGCGATGCTGAGTCCAGGCCCCGCGACGGGCTCTGGCTCTGTGGAGGGTAATCAGAGGAGGGGCTCAGAGCAGGAGCCTGCAGCTGTCTCTCCAGTCAGGGCGGTGATTATTTATATTTTTGTCAAAAATAGCTATGTTTAAAAAAAAAAAGAAAGAAAAAAGCTCTAGAAAGCAAAGAAACTTTTAAAACTAGGAATGTCTTCAGTGAAAGAAATAAGCACTTTCCAAACCCTTAGAAGCTGTCCCCATCTCCTGAGGTTCCGGGCCAGGAGGGGAACCCAACAGTCAGGGGACAGAGGATTCACCTCCGCTGTTACTTTTAAGTTTCTGGGGAAACTTGAAACACATCCAGAATCTTCTGAAAAAGCCGAGGTGGTGATGTATAGATTTTTATTACAAAGAGGTCAGAGTGGTGGCTTTGAGCATCCTGTCCCCCCAGCATGGGAGTGACCCCAGAGTCGGCCGCCTGTTCCCTCTCCCTGAGCGGAGGCAGCCCGCCTCCCCTCTCCACTCAGATCCTCGCTGGCTCCCAGGCCCAGCTCAGGAACCGCACCCACCGGGGCGAGACAAGACTGGAATCTTCTTTGCTCTGCTCTCCACCTGCATTTCCCAGGGGCCAGCTCCTCCCCTGCTCAGAGCATGGGATTCTGGGGGAGGAAGCCACTCCCAGACCTCTCCCCACCCCAGAGAGGCCCATAGCATGTCCCTCTTGCTGGGCTGACCTGCAAAGATCCGGCTCCTTCCTGAGATCTTTCTAACAGGAGTACGGGAAAGCAATTTTCCCTCCTTGGTCCTGAGGCGGTGGTTCGTCAGCCCAAACCTGCCAATGGCCAAGGTCCCCCCACTCGTCGAGACATGAGGATGGAGCAAGACATCAGCACACAGGGAAGGGTAGAGGTGAAAGAGGGAGGGAGGATGCCACCCATCACCCCCAAGGCAGTACCAGCCCTGCCCGTCCCACAGTTTAAATGCATGAGCCATCTGTGCGCCTCTGCCCTCTCTCCCTCCCCCTCTCCCTGCCTTTTTTTCTTTCCTCCTTTTCATAAACTTGTTCAAGTTGAGATTCTTTCACTCACACGAAAAAATCCTAAGTAAATATTTGCTCCCAAAGCCTCCTCTGACTCATCCTATCCTCACTGTTCTTCCCACCTATGAACAATAGCCACCATCTACCGAGCTTCTACAATGTGTCAGACACAGACTCGATCCTTACGTACATGGCATGTACACATACACATACATATATACACACACTCACACACACGTGTGCATGCGCCAGGCCTGGGCACACGTGTGATTGTTTTCCACCTGTGACAAGTGATGGGTCTGGCTCCTACGTGTTTCAGGTTTTCAGCTCTTCCAGCCCCGTCCTCCCAGCTTCCCACTCCGCCTGACCCCTCCTGTCTCACCTGACAGTAGTGGAGAACACTATTTAGAAGAAAAAACGTAGATGTATATATGCACAGTGATTTCAATGAAAAAATTTTTTTTACATTAAAAAGTTCCTGGAAGGCTTCCCTGGTGGCGCAGTGGTTGAGAGTCTGCCCGCCGATGCAGGGGACACGGGTTCGTGCCCCGGTCCGGGAAGCTCCCACATGCCGCGGAGCGGCTGGGCCCATGAGCCATGCCCGCTGAGCCTGAGCGTCTGGCGCCTGTGCTCCACAGCGGGAGAGGCCACAACGGTGAGAGGCCCGCGTACCTCAAAAAAAAAAGAAAGTTCCTGGGAATTCCCTGGTGGTCCAGTGGTTAGGGCTCCGCGCTTTCACTGCCTGGGATCGATCCCTGATTGGGGAACTAAGATCCCACAAGCCTCATGGCATGGCCAAAAAATAATAATAATAATAAAATAAATAAACAAATAAGAAGTTCCAGAAAAGGTTAACATACATACAAAACCCCTTTCTCTTCCCACCAATAAAAGATTGTAAGTATGGACCCTCCAGGTGGGTGCAGGGCCTTTGAGCACGTGGCGAGGC